GATAGCTTTTAATTAATTTTTTAATTTTAATTTTAAATTTTTTTTTTAAATTCACTTTAAAGAATACATAAAGACAAATCTATATTTTATGATCTTAAAAAATATTTAAATTTATGTTAAACAAGTATAGGATATCAAACATCTTTCCCAATTATATTCACTACAACATTTTGAAAAATGGACTTGCGTTATTTATCAAGCAAGTGTGACTAAGTCTTAAACACACATCAGAAATCATAGCACTTCCTGTCCTTCACTATAGTTTGGCATTAATTAAATCAATCCTTCAACACGAAGCACAGACTCTTACTAATATCTTTGGTTCAAGAGCCATATTATCCTATAAAAAATTTGGTTAATAAAACCTACTCTGCAATTACACGGAGCATGACTCTATGATACAGCTAGCAGGTCATGACTGCATATTAAAATTTAAGAGCCCACTATAATAATCTGCAATATTCAAAAGTTACTGTAAGGAGCATTATGTTCTGAAAGAATTATCAAGCAGTCCATTACATTTTGCAAACTATGTCAACCAAGTCTTTCAATATTAATTTAAGATTCCATATAAAGGTTCACTAAAAGGCTCTGTGCAGGGCCTTCATTAGGCAAGGATGCTAGTTAAAAAAGGTAGATGTGAATCTTCGCAGAAAAGTTAGAAGCTTTCGTATACTATGATCAGCAGTTTGCCACCTTGATAACTACACAAAAGCCTCCTTTTCAGTTATATCCTACCACTATCAACTACTTGGTATGACTTCAGTATTTGGACCATAACTATCTACAGATTTCACGCATTATGAAGGATTGGTTCAGACAATAACAGAACTAGAATAACTGGTTAGAATTTAATGTCAGTTCAATGTATCACAGATCTGAACCACTAAGTGGGATGTAGGGATACAGAAGAAATAACTGGTGTTCACCAGTTGTATTACACCAATAAATTATCCCTTACTATCACCATTTCAATTCAAAAAAACATTTAATCTTGCTCAATAAGGAGTCTTTATCTATATCTAGCAGTACAGTAAGTAATTGCATTCTTCTAAATCAAACTTTATGTTTGAAAGCGATCACTTCTGTTACAGTGCATATTTGTTCCTACACT